TTTTTGAAAAAACGGTAATAATAGAATTAAAAATTAATCAAAGATTAAAGGGAAATTGTATTGGCTAGCTAAACTTTTATACATATTTACAAAAATGTCAACCACTTTTGTATTTTGCAAATATGACAAAATATTTGAATTTTTATTTTCGGAATTTTTATTATTCCAGTTTTACCCTTATGATATCTGATATACACCCGATGTATATCTGATATAAGTCCAATGGATGTATATCTGATATACGCCCGATGGATGTATACATGATATACGTCCGATGGATGTATATCTGATATACGCCCAATGGATGTATATCTGATATACACTCGATATATCTCTAATATATTTCCGATCTACATCTGATGTACATCCGATCTATCTCTGATATACAGCAGATGTACGTATTATACATCTAATGTATCTCTAATTTATGATATATTAAATATATTTGTAATGATATACCTATGTATATCTTATATGATATATATTCGATGTATCTCTGATGTATATTTTATGTACATCTGATGTATATCACAGATGCATCAATGTTAGATATCAATAGATATCATGGTTATATCAATAATAAATTAGATACATATTAAGTATATATCATGGATGTATCAAAGTTATATTAGTGGTAAATCATATAATCATATGAGAAGTTATATTAGTAGATATCATAGTTATATAAGTGGTAACTAAAAACATATCAAGTATACATCACATATATATAAGTGTTATATCAGTATGGTAAATTATATAATCATATAAGAACTTATATTGGTAAAAATCATAGTTATATCATACGTATATCAGTGGTAAACCATATTAGAAGTTATATTGGTAGATATCATAGATATATCAGAAGTAAATCAACTGTATATCAGTATTATATCAGTGGTATATCAAAGGCATCTTAATAATATATTACACATATATTAGTGGTAAATCAATAAATAGTAAATAATATAATCATATAATAAAATATATTGGTAGATACCATAGTTATATCAATGATATATCAATTGTATATCCAGTGGTAAATCAGATGTATATCAAGTATATATCAGATAGATAGATAGATATCTATCTATCTATCTATCTATCTATCTATCAATGCTACGAGGGTAAATTTGACATTTTATTCTTGGACCTCAGTTTTTTTTTTAAAAAATTTTGTTATATTTACAAACCTAAAATGTAGATGCTATTTACTTAAATTTTTTTGCCACATTTGTAACTACCCAAGATTAAAATTATAATTTAACCTTAAAAAAATTTAAGCAAATTTAAGCCATTTGTGATCCCGTTTAAATCCTCACAAGAGGAAATCCTAAAAAAAATTAATAATTAATTAATTAAAATGCTAATAATGAAATTAATTGTTTTCATTTTTCAGTATTAAATACAAAATTAAAATACAAATTGTACTTACCGCGGAAATAATATATTTCGCGATAGAGTGGCTACTACTGCGACTTGGTTTGAGAGCTCCATTGACGGGAACCAGGGTTTCTTCCGCTGCTACTCGTCGAAGAAATTTTGATTGGGAAATTGTTCGGCGCCCAAATTCTTCAGGAGCAGGTAAGTTTTCATGAGCTTCATTTGGTTTTCGATATTCTCCATTTTAATTTTGTCTTTAACATACTAGATTTCGAATCGCTGGTAGTTAAACCCTAGCGGCGATGCCGTGATCCTTCGTCTCAATCTCTATCTTCTTCAGCGTTTCTGCCTTCTCTATTTATTTATCGGTTTCCATTTTCTTCCGCTAAGCTCCGAACTTCTCTATTTCTCTCTCGGTCTCCGTTCTGACAATTGACGATTGACATTTATTGGTATCCAACGTTTGCTTGATTTTATTGTTCTTCATGATTTAAGGCAAGTTTCTTGCCTGTTTGTTATTTGGTCGTCAATTGACTCGTAGAAGAGTGGTTTATTTGGATTCCTAGTTCTTCATTTTGTCGTCGATTGGATGTTTCACTAGATGCTCAGTTGGAAATGGCTCTATATAGAATCTCTACGATTTATAGTTTGTCAGCTGTAGAATATTGGTCAATTGGGAATGGCTATGTTTCACTTGTAAGACTATAGGTAAGTGAGGTGAGCCATTCTGAATTTTTTGATTGGTTGATTGTATCATGGTTCTTGAATATTTTGGTATTTGGAAATCTTGTGGGTATATGAGTTTGTGATTGTGCATATTGAAGTTTATGATTTTTTGGATATTGAAGTTTATGATTTTGTGGGTATTTGAAGAGTTAATGATTCTGAAATTTTGTGGAAAATTTTTTTGGTGTTTAAACTTTATAAATATGGATTATTTGTGGTCCCAAAAATCTAATTAGATGGGTAATTGATTTGTTTCTTATTCTAAAAGTTTATGGTCATTTGGTTGCTTTTTGTGAGATTTTTAAGTTTATGATTATGAACCATGATGAGTATTTAAATTTGTTGTTGTTGGTATAGGATTGTTCGGGTTCTGAAATCATTTAGATGTTTAAAGTTTATGATTCTAAAATATATTTGGCATTAATATTGTGTATATTCAAGTTTGTGATTCTTACATTGCTTAGATATTTGAGTTTGTAATTTTTTAGTTATAATTCATAAAATCATAATTGAATTTTGAACTACGAGAGGAATAGAAGAGGGCTAAGTAATGTGCTTTCATGAAGTTTCGATAAATAAAAGCGATGAATTGTCTATATTTATTGGTGAAATCCTGAATCGTATTTTTCCTTTAAAATTGACCAAGGAAAATTAGTTCTTGCTATGGGCAATTGCTTCTGTTTGGTTTAGTTGTATGAGAAAAACCCTCCGTATCCGAGTTTTTGTGCTTGTAAAGAATTGTAGGCTGGTTGCATTTCCTTGTATACCTGCTAGCTATTGTTAGAGTGTGGCTATTCCTTTCTTGGTTTGTATCCTTATCTAGGTTTTGGATGGATTGATAGTCTTTTACTCTTTTCCATAAGAGTGCAGCCAGAGCTGGTGAGCTTTGTCATTTTCTTTGAATTGGGATAAACGGGGTGCACTAGAATGTGGTTGCATAACAGAATTTAGAAGCAAAGCTCATTTCTTCCTTTCAAACAAAGCTTAACTTGTCCTAATTTGTTGGTGCAGATTTTTTTGGGGTAGGGTAAGATGGCTCGAAATGAGGAGAAAGCACAGTCAATGCTAAATCGTTTCATTGCCTTAAAAGCTGAGGAGAAGAAGAAACCTAAGGAACGCCGACCCTACCTTGCCTCTGAGTGTCGTGACCTTGCAGAAGCTGACAAATGGCGTCAGCAAATCATGCGTGAGATTGGGCGTAAGGTTGCAGAGATCCAAAATGAAGGCCTTGGTGAGCATCGCTTACGTGATCTCAATGATGAGATCAACAAGCTTATCAGAGAAAAGTCACATTGGGAGCGTCGTATAGTTGAGCTAGGTGGCCCCAATTATACCAAACACTCGGCTAAAATGACTGACTTGGACGGAAACATTGTTGATGTACCAAACCCAAGTGGTCGTGGTCCTGGATATCGGTATTTTGGTGCTGCTAAGAAGTTACCAGGTGTGAGGGAGTTGTTTGAGAAGCCACCTGAACTAAGGAAGCGTAGGACTCGTTATGACATATACAAGAGGATCGATGCAAGCTACTATGGCTATAGGGATGACGAGGATGGGGTTTTGGAAAGAGTGGAAGGTCCAAGTGAAGAGCGTATGAGAACCGAGGCAGTCGAAGAGTGGCAGAGAATGGAAGAGATAAGGAAAGAAGCGAAGAGGGCAGTAAAGAGCGGGGAGGTAGCGAGCGTGGTGAACGTTGCAGCAAAGGAGGTACTATTTGAGGAGGAGGAAGAGGTTGTGGAAGAAGAGAGGAAAAGAGAGAGGGAAATGAAGGAGAATTTGGACAAGGAGAGGGAGTTTGTGGTGCATGTGCCTTTACCTGATGAGAAAGAGATTGAGAAGATGGTACTGGAGAAGAAGAAGATGGAACTGTTGAGTAAGTATGCGAGTGATATGCTTTTGGATGAACAGAGCGAAGCCAAGACCATGCTCAATATACAGAGGTAGACTAGATAGATGGTATGCCCCTAGTTTAGTTAGTGCCCAAAATTGTAATAGATTTATTTTTGTTAAATCTGATATGCATCACTGGAAATGCAATTGCCAAATGAATTTGGTTTGTCCATTGATTTCTTGGTTGTGTGGTGGATTGGCCAATCATATTTCAGATCCAACCAGAGGGACAGCAAAGACCGAGTTGTATGATCAAATACTGTTATGATGTTTGTTTAGCTTCTCCCTATATTTTTGCTATGAACATCTTAAAGGTGCAATCAGCGTTGATGAATGATGAAAAACCTCAGATAATAGGTTGCAAGAATTTACCAAATCCCCACTCTCCGAGGGCAAGAATCTCGACAGTGATGTCTCTCTTCCATGTACACAGGACAGTATTTTGGGGCGCATTTGTTTTAAGACTTTGCAGTCGATTTTGGATGCTGACGAATATTTATGGCTTTTGGATTAGCTTCGTGTATTTCCATATTCTGTTTCTTCAAGTTTACAAAGAAGCTTTTCATATTTATTTACTCTATAATTTTTTCTTTATTGCTCTGTATCATTCTTTAATGATGCCGAGGTGATTCATAATGCATGAGTTTGGTATCCATATTCTTGTAGTACTTGAAATTTTCTTGTTGCTCAAATTGCAACTCCACTAATGTACAATTCTCGATTGGTTTGAGATTGATCTTAATCATACCACTTAAAAGCGTGATCAAACGTCTAGTGATATGCTGGAACTACATCAATTTGTTGACTAAAATTATGGGAAGAACAATACTTCACTTGTTGCACATCTCTCAAACCGTACAATGTTTTTCGAGATGGGATCAGAAGACAATAAGCTACAAATTTGAACTATGTTATAAGCTTCTCTTTTGCTTTAGAAGGCAAATGAAAGTTTGTCGGAAATCTCGTTAGGCACAACTTTCGGCTCCATTCTCAGCAGACTGCTAGCGCCAATATTTCCAAAGAGGAAACTGTTTCTCAAATTCCATTAAGTTATTTGACTCATCAGGCTCGTTTGGGTACCACAATCTTGTATTTCATTATTTTGTTTTACTTCACATTTGAGTTCTTAACTTTTAAATTTTAGATTTAATTTTACAACCATTTAAAAAAACAGTTATTAAAACAAAAAGCAAAAGAAGAAAATAGTGTTAATAAACTTAGTGTTAAAAATAAAAATAATCCAAACGATGCCTTGATTACTGAATTCCAACCCCCGGAAACCCCAAGAAAAAGTTGTGAATTTTCAGATTTGTATGGACTTCACTAACACTCTTCAAATAGGAATCCTTCAGCAAGAGAGGCAAAAGCACATTTTCTTTTAAAAATACACATTTTCAAAACATGATACCCAAAGAAATTTCAGTACTTGGAAAACTCAACCTGTAAGGAGGGAAATCATTAACCCTTCAGCATATTATCCCTAATCCCTATTCCCGCTAAGCATAATAATCAAAGAAATTCGAGTCTTCACAAAACAAAACCCTGTTCTTTTAAGCCCAAAAAGATGGATGTGGCGCCCAGAGAGCTAAAATCACAATTATGCAAGCGAAGGAACAAAGGGTGGTTCTGCAGCATAGTGGGGAAGAAAATAAGCCCCGCAGTTTAAAAAGTTGTACAGAAGATAACACGAATGATACTTGGTACACGTTTGCCCATCTTTTCGACCCGGAAAGGAAGATATCCTCAATTGTAGACCATATACTTTGGGGTTGCACTGAACTTTTGGTATCCCTTGATCACTTTGTTCACTGCATCCAGGAAGTCCTTCTCTGTCACTGTCTTCCTTCGAGCTCGGATTGCATACATTCCAGCTTCTGTGCAGACACTTCTAATGTCGGCCCCTGTAAGAAACCACATTCACAAAAAGATAGATGTTCAATACAATTATACAACAGGAAAGTTTAGAGTAACTACATATAAGATTAAAATAGTGCCATGAGTCTTGACCTGTAGAATTTGGGCAAAGCCTTGCCAAGAGTTCAAACCGGATGTCCCTCTCACAGTTCATGGTCCGTGTGTGGATCTTAAAGATCTGTGTCCTACTCTCCAGGTCAGGAAGCCCAAACTCAACCTTACGATCCAGCCTACCCGGTCGCAACAGAGCTGGATCGAGTGTATCAGGCCTGAAAGAGAGAATTGAAAAATTAACATATAATTGATTTTAAAACTAGGATCAGGAAAAGAAGAGACCAACAAAGTGGCAGGCAGATGATATATCAAGTACAACCCATGTAGCAAGTCTGAGACATGTGAAAGAAACTACAGTCCATTCACCAGCCACTGAAATGACTTACCTATTTGTTGCCATCAGAACTTTTATGTTTCCACGTGCATCAAAACCATCAAGCTGATTCACAATTTCAAGCATTGTACGCTGAACCTCATTGTCACCACCAACACCATCATCAAAACGAGCACCTCCTATGGCATCAACTTCATCGAAGAACACTATGCAGGCCTTTTTGGAACGTGCCATCTGGAGCACACAACATATAAGCAATAATGCTGAAGTGTGGGCACCATTGATTTATGACATGAGCTACGAAAAGCTACTAAACATGAAGCAACAGCAAACCTGAAATAGTTCTCTGACCATCCGAGCTCCCTCACCAACATATTTTTGAACAAGCTCACTCCCAATAACACGAATAAAGCAGGCATCTGTTCTGTTAGCTACAGCTCGTGCTAGAAGTGTTTTGCCAGTTCCAGGGGGACCGTAGCAAAGGACTCCTTTCGGAGGATCGATTCCAAGCTTTACAAACTTCTCAGGATGAAGCATGGGTAACTCAACAACCTACAAGTAACAGTTTCAGATACAAAATAGTGAACAAAAGAAAAGAAACTCGAGTTTCTAAGAATCACAAAAAAGAGAAAGAATCAGGCAAATCTGAAAGTAACATGAAAGGCAACTATACAAATAAAATTTCTTCTACACACCTCTCGCATCTTCTCAATTTGCTCCTTACATCCACCAACATCATTATAGGTCACATCAGGTTTTTCTTCAACCGTCATCATGGTCACACTTGGATCAATTTTGGGAGGCAAAGGAATTTGAATTTGATATTTATTTCTATCAACACTGTAATGGCAGAATAAATGTCAAAATTTTTTTCTGACCAACATAATTTCACGTGCAAAAGCAAGAAAAGCCACCATAAGCAACATAAACGAGGCAAAGCATAACTATACATATATGATCAAATAAGCTACTATGTTGGGGTACATAGCGTTCCTTTGATTTTATCATATACACTAGACATTTGAAATTAAGTACAAAACGGCAGACTGCACATGGTAAAAAAAATTGGACATTTTGCCTGCTAAATCTACACAAGGTGATAAGAACAATTTGTAGACAGCATCAAACACCTACCCTACACGCATGCCTTCTTCTATGTCTGTTGGGGAAACTTTGTCACCGAGTCCAACAACAAACTACATAACAAAATAAAGAATAAGTTAGAGAACCACTGCAGATTTGATGAATGGGTGTAGATAATAAACTCTAAAATTCTAAACCATCGATGAAGAAATTACATAATCATAAAACAATATCATAAAGAAAGTTCTTCGTTTTCCATTTCCTCCTCAACCGCACTTAAAACCAATGCTTTTACTGACTTAGAGTACACCGAATTAATAACTAACCTTTGCAATTTGCTTAACATTGATAACGTATTTGGCATCTTCAGAATTTGGATTGATTATCTTTGTGCATCTCGCTACCTGTTGACAGATAATTTTTCTGTATCAAAAACTAAGTACCAACATCAACATAGTATTTCCTAAACTCGTTGAAAATGCACCTGAAGAGGCTGCTCTTCCTGCATCATTTGCTTATCAGATACAAGATCCCACTGGCTAGGAGCTGCTAAACCGGTGTCAGACTCCTTAATGCCTGTGATGCAATTCATGCTGATATTAGTTTCACACGGAAATTGATTATTCACGCATATATAGCAACATATACTTTCTGGTTTGTAAAACTGAGCGGCAAGCAACACATACCACATAAATCATTGACCTTCTTTGCCATATCCTTGATTTCTTTCTCCACCTTCTTAATATAGGTTGAATAAGGTCCCAACCCCTGTAAAAAGAGGATGTTGGTGTTACAAGAGCATAACTGAGGATACACCAAAATTACCCATCAAGATAGACGGAAAACTAAAAAAAAATAAGAATCTGACATCCGCTCTCTAAAAAATGCGCTTTTTCAGAAGACCCACTAGTTACGGTTTCTTGGATAAGAAGAAAATCGATATTCGGAGGACCCTTATCGTCTGGCCTGCAGAAGGCAGCCCCTCCGAATTCACTCATTATTCAGACACTTCAACTGGGGGCCAATAAAAGAAAAATAAGTAATCCTCTCTTAAAAACTGAATTTACCTAAAATTTGGAACTCTTCCAGGTGAAGGAACACCCGACAGAACAAATAATGGTGACGAAATATGAAGATTATTCATATGGTTCTTTCCACATACTTAATTAGCTTTACAGCGGAATTTGCCTGGTATGAAGAAACTAAGCTCGTAATACTCGCATCCAAGCAACTAGATTCTACTAAAGTCGCCGGATCTAATCCGATGGGGGCATGAGTTCGTAGAAATGAGGCAGAAAGCATGAAACAGATAGTAAAATAGAACAGCAATTTAGGGTTTATAGAGTAGAAAACAAAGAAGCTCTCCTATATGAACTTACATATGTCTTCAGAAGAGCAATATCATCCTCATCGAGAGGGCGGGGATTCTTCTCGTCCTTGATCTCATCCTCTGGGTCCGGCGCCATCAGAATCCAACTTCAGACTTGGAACTCCGGCGTAGGATTCTGCAACTGCTGTGATTTTCTTGGGGACGAAGACAACTGATGAAAAAGAAGCTCGAAATGTACTATGTGCTCTATTAGACGTCATTATATAGGACCATTCCGGTGAGAATCCATGGGCCGGTTTATGGTCTTATGGACTGGGCCGGCCCAATTGAACACCTTTACTTATTATTTGTTTTTTATTTTATTTCTTTTAAAAAGAGATGGGATATTTGTGCATGAAATAATTTTACAAAATGGCATATTCAACCAAAATAGCTAATTTAATAAAAAAAATAGTTTTTAAATTTGGCTTAAATTTTTAAAAAAAATATTTTAAAGTAAATAACAAAACAAAGAAACACGTAGAAATAGGGATTATAGACTTGTTCTTTAGAAACAAAAAAACCCACAAAATTATTATCAAACAAGATCTAATATATCAACTGAAGTAATTTTTCTTTCTTTTTTTTTAGTAAAAATAGATCATGATTTTCTTTTTTTTTAGTAAAAATAGATCATGATTTTAAACCACCGTTAAAACAAAGTAATCTTTTTAAGTTAAATTATAATTTTGATCCCTTAATTCTTAGAAGTGTAGATACTTCTCTTTATTTTTAAAAATAATTTGTTGTTGAACTTTCAATATTGTGTGTCAGTTGGCGGTATTAATGTATAAAATTATATTTAGTATGCGAACTTTCAATTTTGTATATAATAGATTAATTTGTTAGTTTGTATATAATACATTAATATCTTTTAATAGAATTACTAAATTAATATATAATTTAGTGATAGGGATATTTAATAGAAACTTACTGGACACGAAACAAAAATTTAAGAAGCTTGTTCTAATAATAATCTTTTGTAAATAACTAAATAGACATCAAGCCAAAAGTATTAGAGACCTCAAGCTTGTAATTTAACTTTAACTTCAACCTTTTTTTTTTTTTTAAGTTGCTTAGAAAAATGCTACCCACTATAAACTTCTCCTTTATCAAGGCATACAGGTCACCATACCTTTCAAAGAAATTGCGGCATATGTTATTTCATCAAAACTGCATCTATGGTGGTCAATTACATCTATGACCTTTGTTTGGAGTTGTGTTTAATTACTTTTTAAAAAGTTTGTTTTCTAAAAAACTTGTATAAATACCTTTTTTCCACATTGGAAGTTAAGAATTTCTCACAGGATCAATCACATAAGGCACTGTTTGGATTGCATTCATCACTATATTACAACTTTCATAATGCATATGCAAGCGAAACAATTGTCTTCCAAACAAGTTCCAAGTCCATTTTTTATAGCCATCCTTCAGGCTGCATATACACACTGGAAATCTCCATGCACGGTAACCTAATTAGAGTTTAGACATTAAACATCTCCAAATATTTGCCTCGGTTCGAGAACAAGTTAATGCTCAGAAGTCCCTGTCCGGGAACATAACGGGGGCGATCAAGGACCAGATGAATAATGCTGCAGTAGCCCAACCAGTCATGACCCGAACCCAAACAGATGCCCACCCGACATCTACCAACCTGCCGCTCCCGCCAACGGAGGTGGACCATCCAGTCAGGAGCATGGCTGAGTACATACTAGCAAGAGAGAAGATGATGTGGAAAAACGAATATGAATATGTAACTGGCTTTGCCTTCTCCTTTTCCTCGTGCTCATCCGACTTCTCCAGTGGAAGCAAAGGCTTTCCTGCCCATTTGATAGAGAAGCAAGAATGTCACACAACTCATACATCAATAAAAAGGAACAAATTGATACTTATAAATTAGTAGAGCCGCTTCACCAATTATGAAGTCAAGAAGAAAGAATTCAGTAGATTGCCGGGTGAAACGAGGTGGGAGAGTCTAGAGAAACACCAAAAAAACAACATGAATCTTGAAACTTCAGTAGCTTAATTAAAGGTGTCAACAAAGCTGGGGTAGGAATGGAGATTGCTCCCCCGTCCCCGTCCCCATCCCCTTCACCTAAATCATTCCCTCTCCCCCCATTAAATAATGAGGGACAGGGCCTGACGCGACAGGGAGACATTCCCCATCGAAGTTCCTGAAAACAATTGGGAGATTAAAAAAAAAAAACTCCATCTCCACTAGAAAATGAGATTCGCTGCTCTGATCACATTCAGGACGTGTCCCAGCAGGGATTTCCACACCTATAGGCTTAATATATGAGAGACCACAGACAAAGTCTTGAACAACTTAAAAAGGGTAACAGTATTGAGAAATCAAGGAAGTACATCAATCATATTCTACTTGCTGCAACGTTAGCATCATGCACAATTCTTAGGAACATGATCAGTAGAAACTTCCAAAAGTTCAAGATTTGCCAATTCCATGGCGAACCGAATGGGATTGGCACTCCATTAAGACAATTAAAATCAATACGTGCGATATAACCCTTCCAGAATGTGTTTCAGAAGAGCTGTAAAATCCCAAAATAATAATATATTAAATAAATTAGCTAACTCTTACCTGCACGAGGTGAGCTTGGTGGGGAAAGCAGGGTTGTAGATGAACCAGCACGAACAGCAGAATAGACTACCGATAGAACAGTTGTAAGAAGACCCAAGGCAAGAGTGCCGGTAGAAACAGCCTTGGAATGCTTGTGAAGACCATTACATTCATAGTCTCTCGGTTCACTAGCAAGTCCACTGTAGCAGAGATATGTACAATATAACGAGACGACCGACGCAGGTAAAACACTGCCGCCAACCTGTTTTTCCATCAATATGAGTGTCATAAGAAACAGAAAAAAAAAAAAAAGAAAGAATGTAGATCCTCTTTGTATTTGATATAACCCCCATGTGCATCATACTTGAAGATAACACCATTATAGTAAAACGACATTGCGCAAGTGTATCATATTTTTAAATTAAGATCTACTAACAAAATATGGCAGTCCAGTCCAAAGGCATTATTAGGTCAACATATAGTAAGTTATCAAATATCAATAGACAAACAATGCAATGAACGTCATAAGTACAACTTATTGGTCGTTAGCCAAATCTATTATCAATTGCTCGAAGAACTTAATAATTATGGCCTCCTATCAATGGAGGCAAAATGAGAAGAAATTAATTGTAATTTAGACAGAAGGATAGAAGAGAGGAAGAGGGAGGAAATATATAGACATGCACAATCATGGATTGGATTCTGTTTCTTTAATGAAAGTTGGAAGATGGAAATACTTACTGAAGGGTGCAGTGCAACAACTGTGAAAACAAATGCAAAAATAAGGGTCATCATAATAAAGAAGGTGTTGAGCCCGCAATCATGTCCTGATGGTGTGAACCAATGGAAGAGAAATCCAGAAGAGACAAATGTTGCCACATAACAGAAAAGTGAAACAACAAATAAAGCAATGTACCTAAAAAGAAGGGAGGAAACTCAATCGTTAGTTACAAACTTAGAAAGAGAAATATGGAAAAAGTGAGTAAGAAGGCACGATAGAAGAAACTAGAATTCAACAAACCAAAACTGCTCATCATATCCAACCCAGGTATCATTCCATCTGTGAACAAAATCCAGCAGAAGTACAACTTGAACAAGAAGAAACAGTCCTGAGCCGAATTTTGAAATAGACTCTGCAGACATAGAATATATCAATGCCATTTTAATGAAAGATAAGAAAGAGGATCTCAAATTAACCAACACAAACTGAACAATCTTTGTAAGAAAATCTTCTAATCTTTAACGTGCTGAAATAATTTCTAATTCTTACCATAAAAGCTGATAATCTCATTGGGAACGAAAAACATTAGTACCACCAGAAGAAACCAACAAATAACTTTCAGCATCCATCCACCATGGTGAATATTATCACGGGGATCCCTCTGACTTTTCACACCAACCATCATTACAGACAGAATAGTGAAGAAGAGAAAATTTCCCAAGCTAACCCGCAAGACTGCATCAGTTTGAAACCAATCCCTGCTGGGTGTTTGATGGAAATTATTAATCCCTGAAGAAGAAATGCAAA